ATGGATCGAGTGGAGTGGCCAAAGCCCTAATGACCACGCTGACGGAGCTCTTAATATTTGCATCATAGCTCATACTTCCAGTTACGTTGAATGTGCAACTGACATCCTCTGTCAGTATCCCCCGACTTAATCTGAGAGCGGGCTTGTTTTTCGTGTTTTGAAACGAAGCACTGTCTCGCACCTTTAGTTCTGCTTTTGGGTTGGTACATGTTACCATCCATGAAAAGGTCATTCTAGTGTTGTTGGCACAAGGTGCTACCTGTAGATTAAATTAAGAATTGTATTATCGGAGGTTGACAAAAGGGAGTGCTAATTAACGCTGTCTCTCGCACGACAACTTAGATTGAGTGATGGAAATCTAGGGTGATTATTTCACTACTCATAATGGACGAATGAGGCATCCCCTCATCAAATAATGTCCTAGGGGGTTTTAGTTGAAAAACGAGAGAGACTCTTGTTCCTGAAAGGAATAACTTAGAGGCTTAGAAGAGTCAAAGGAATCTATTGAAGACGTGTTTGTAGAAAAAAAATGGAAGATGTTATTAGCTCTTACCTAGACCTGATAGTGAAACTCATTTGTAATTGTGTAAATAGGAGAGGGCAAAAGAAGGAGCAGGAAGGGGAAGTATAGGAAGGGTGGGAAATGAGGAGGAAAAGGAAGAAAAATTGAAGGATTAGAAGGGGAAAAGGGAGAATGGAGAACGTAGAGAATGAAAAAATACGTGCAGAATACGGAAATGAGAGAAAGGAAAAGAAAGAGGAGGAAGACGTGGAGGAAGGGTAAAGAAGAAAGAAGAGGATGAGGAAGGAGAAGAAGAATTGACCGCTTTCAATGTGAACATCATGGATTTACTTACAATTGCGTTTGTTTTGATAGAAAATTCCTCCGATACATAAACCTCCCCGTCTATTAGATCGATGCTTGAACTCAGCGTTAAGGCCGGAACGGGATCCGAATTTTTAGTTACTATATGAGTCGTTTCTTGAAAATCTGCCCGATTAAGGAAGTTTGCCACTTCAAGCTTAAACACGTATGTTTTCTTTGAGTCAAGTAATTCCCCATAGATCTTCACGTCATCATCATCTGAACTCAGCGCATCGAGGACACTTGTAATGTCTGCTACGTCATTGTCATCAGGTGATGTCACGAACCATTTAAAGATGAGTGGCCGGCCACCACCACCGTAGGACTGGGATCCAGAGAGAGAGAGATTTCCGCAGGAAGAAAGAACTTCAGGACCTTACAAAAAGAAAGACGGTAACTCATTAAGTAACGAAAAAAAAAAAAACTGAACAGACCTCATACCCTCTGTATGAAAATTATCCTTGTACGAGGCTGATCCTGTTTGAAATGTCATATTAATGTTAACCAGCTAAAGTTGAATATCATTCAAAACAATTTAGCGAAGTGGAGGTGGCCTGGTTAAATCTTTTTTAGTATATGCTAACAAAGGGAGATAATATAACACAAAAAGATGATTTTAACTAATTACTTACTGCAACGAATTCAATATTTTCTGGTGCAAGGAACGCACACGTGTCTCTTCGGCTACACGAAAGGTAAATGGTACGTGCTATTCACCTCCGAACTTGCCGATCAGCGCGCGTGAAAATGGTTGTGTGGTATATACTAAATTAAAGTGATCTGTGTGCGGAAACTACAAGACAAGTATTTTTAAAAACTTAAAAGTTTGAAGGTGAATCCTGGGCGTAAGTCAATATGGAAATTCTACAGCAGTTGAGCCTTAACAACAAAATAATATATAATTTGCCTAACAGCCTACAGTTATTGAGGTCACATGCTTAAATTCACAAACACACTTGAAATACTCTGTCCTTTGAAGAAATTACAAAAATTACATCTAACCCAACATTAATTCTTTGTAATAAACCTCTTCATTATCATTCAATATGAGGTCTCCTTGAACAACACAACTGAATTTACCTGTGATTACGGGTGTGGGCCGTAAGGGATCATCAGGCCCCTGGACTGGAACTGAACCACTGTAAAACTCACTGTATGTTTCTCCGTAGGCTTGGAAAACGTTATCCTTAAAAACCAAACTGTCGCCAGTGGTAACATTTGCGCCGGCTCCAAGGAGAATAGTTACCTCTCGCCAGCTGCTTAAGTAGCATTCTGCGTCAATTCCAAAAGTAACAACTACTGCGGCGGTAAAGAAGTTTTCGCAAGTTTCATCGTCATTGGCAATGTCAATATCGATGTCGAAAAGTACTAGTATCATAGTGGCTGTGTCACTGAACTTCACAGTGGTGACGTTGGGTGCGCGTGCATAGGCAGTCAGGATAGCGCTACCAACGGTGTTGAGTCCACCATCCATGGAAAGAGATACGTCGAACCGGGTCGAGGTATCAGCTGCTGGTGCCTACGAATTAAAGTTAAGGTATAGAGTTTGATGGAGCGAAATGTGTCACCTTCTGTTATTTTTTTTTTAATTCTGGTGTTCAGAAATCAGAGAAGTACTTATTTGATTTCAGGCGTTGCAAGCTATTCAGCATAATACGGTGACAAATATCTCTTTCGCTTAGCTATTTCTTAAGGTTAATATTTTCAGTATGTAATGACAACCATGGCTCCTTTAACCGAATGTGTCGGTGTACGATGATTCTTTTAATGGCGCCGTTTCACTTATGAGCTTAGCAAAGCATAATAATAATTACTTTGACTGACTGCACTGTTCATGAGACTTGCTAAATGATATAAAAGATCTCTGTCAGCAGGAAAATGTGCAAGGCGATCAGAGGTGACCACCCTTGGTCAGAGTCTTTGCTGAAGGAAAGAATCTCTTTGTTAGTGAAACCAAGTGATTTCAAATTAACTGATTTTCACCCTTTGGCGAAACAATGAGCATTCTGACCCTCCCCTCCGGTATAAACACTTACTTTGCATTTGAGATGAGTTTCGTTTAAAAAGATGATGTCTTTGCTTTCGCTGGAATTGAAATAACACACGGTCTCTTTCCAGTCAAAGAAACCGTTGCCAACAAGTATCACGTTTTCGGGTAAGTCGTCCTTAAGAATTTCATATGGCGTGACATTCCTCAGAGCGAGGTTTGAGCTATTGTAATAATATATGGGAACTGACTCGTTGAGTTTAATCTGCTCCCCACCATCGTGGACGAGTATCACTGAAAGGTTGTATTTTCCCGCGGTGTAATTAGGCCATGGTTGAAAAACGCAGTGAGCATGGGTGAGATTTCTTTGGGTGGCTTGAAAGAGAATTTTGAGGATATAAGAATCCATTAATCACAAAGATTCCTCAGGGTGGAAAGTGAATCATTATGCTTGCGTTAGGAGATCTCTACTTAAAGGGTTTCATAATGGTCGTTTGGGATCCTTCAGTTTACAAATGTAAAAAAAAAGACCTTTTTAACTTTTTTCTCTCCAAGACCATGAAAAGAGTTTCTCTTTATGGTGGTAACACATTTACAAGTGCTCAACCTACCTAACTAAAATTAATTTCTATATATTCTTTCAACCAAGAGATTAACTTCCCGGTCCATTCAAATGACATCATTAAATAAAACGCAATACTTAGGCCAGGTACGTGAATTATGAGCAATTTTTCTCTTTTTCTTGGCCCTGATCACTAAGTTTTTTTCCCATGTGAGTATATTCATTAAACAGGAAGAAAGAGTACACAAATATTTACCCCGCTTCCAACAAATGACGTGATTGTGGGATCGATGATATTATGTATTATGTAGGAACTTTCAGTTTTTACACGAACTAAGATTTTTTTTATACCTGTAGTATTAACAACCTCTACTCCACTATCTGGGTTGTACAATACACACACAGTCGCGTTTCCTGCATCAAATCCAGCACCAATTACCCAGACTTTAGGTTGGCCGCTCGCAATGGTTTGTGGAACAGTTGTCGTGAGAGCCGTGCACGTTGTTCCGTCCCCTCCGCATTTACCGCATGCGTCAAGCACCAAACCACTGTTTGGTACACCGTCGCATCCTATACATGTCGAGTTGGTCCCATTACACACTCCTGTTAGTTTAAGATTGTAGGGAGTAAAAAAAGAGTAGAATAGACCATGAAATTTGTTGCAGTGCTACATGAAACAAGCTAATTTACCAGTTGTGTGCTTTGTTGAGAAGCATCCGAACAGGAATGAGGCTTAAGTTGACCTCCTTGGGATACAAACTTTGCAGTTTTTTACAAAGTAAATCACTCTTCGTTTCATTTCTATTTCATTTTGAAGTAGACGTTAACCGTACTTTCTCCCTATGTCTTAATTCATTTTCAGTTATGCGCAATAATTTTCTTAAATATGTTATTATCCAACCATTATCCTAACGCACGAAGATGTAATACTTTTTGTTATTGAAGAGAAACAAAAAGTTTGCCTATCTTTGTTTCGAAAAGGTTTTTTTCGATTTGAGACAGCAAAATAATGTCAAAATTAGAGTCAACGCTGATTTTATCAGGAGACTGCAGTGGTTATCAATCTTCGGCGGGATAGTTATGTTTGATATTACTCTCAGCACTAGTGAACCTTCTCCTCGCCTCGTCGTCTTATATATCACAGAGGGAGACAAAGAGGATTATAATTTGGTAGGTGACATACCGCATGCATCCTTTAAGTGGTTTTCCATTTTCCCCGTATTTCCGCCGGTGCACACATCGCAGTCGTCAATGACTGCAGTCCCGTCACAGTCATTGTTACAATCCTTAAAATTTTTAACTTCACCAGCTAATAGGCATTTATAGCAAGTATCGCTCGAGTTTGTTGCACCACCATTGCATTCTCCATTGCAGTCCTTCGGATGGTCCCTCCCCGTATTTCCCTTTGAGTGGATATTAGAGGAAAGTAGAAATTATAAAACACTACTCATTCTAGGGTTAAGGGGAATTTTCATTCAAATGGATGTTAATGGATAATGTTTTTTATGATGCAATTTCACCTGGGGTAAATAAAAGTAGACATAACATATCCTCAAATGATGTCCTTGTCTAAAGAAATATCTCTTCATTTCCCTTTGATAATTCATGGCTCTCTTATGGGGGGGAGGGCTCGAAAAGGATTGCTCATAATTTTGCATCATGAAGTTTACTGCGTGTGTTACAACTATTAACAACTAAAACAAAGGATCATGGGCAATCAGAAATGTCTTTTTCCTTACCCCATAACATATACCACAATCCTCTTCAGCGCTACCGCCACAATCGTCTACAAGAAAGGAGAAACACATCACTTACACCGGCATTGTTGGCAGCAAGAGAAAACTGATGCAGAGAAAACTTCGACTGGTAGTATGTGAACCAGTTCGCCATTTATCACGAGCTTGTAGGTCAGTTTGAATTTGGATAATCCAAATCGCGAGCTTAGAGCTTAGGAAACTCGGCCACGATGCCTCCAAGCGAATGAATGAAACAAAGAAAACCACACTGAAGATTGTTACACCGAAAAATCTAGGGAAGTTTTCCAAGATAGACACAAACGACCACCCATAAAATGCTGTTTAAACATAGTCTATTATTATTATCAAGAAGTATAATCTCATGACTTGTAATTTGGGATAAAGGTAGAAATTACATAGGCAGCCTATAGTTTGGCATAACAAATTGAATATTAGTGGCATTTTTGATATGCTTAATCAATGCAGCACGTACCATTGCAGTCTACGTCCTCTTGGCAAACTGTTGGTGGAACAGATGATGTTGATACATAAGAGGTCTTTGAGATGCTATGGGTATCTGAAAATTGAGCAAAAAAAGCATAGTTTGGATCTACTCAAAGGACATGAAAACTATGTAATCTACAAAATGTTAAGCTCATCTTAACCAACGAAGAGTTTCAAATTAGCAAGAATTCCAGACTAGAATTATTAATAATTTTTACTCACGGGACATGCACTCAATCTCCACCCAACAAGACACATTCGGACAATGGAAAGGCTCAGACACTGAAGAACTCGGTGCAGGCCATGGAGTAGAAGAGTAGTACATTGGCGTGACGTTTGCGCTCGGCGTGTACGCCATACCAGAACTAGATGGGGAGGGGCTCACGTGAGGAGATGCATCCATGGACCCTGAAGACATGTTGTAGTCATCGGAGGAGGGCATCGACGACATGTTACCCATAGCACTCACGGTCACGTTGTACATCGCGGAAGACGAGTGTAATGTCATGTTATACTTCATGGAAGAAGTGGCATATCCTTTGATGAAAAAAAATAAATGGTAATACTTTCGCACACGGGATGTTACACGCTTCTACGAAGTCTTCTATGAAGAGAAGTGGCATTGCTCAAGACAGTATTCAATCACAACTAAATATACAACTTCCCATTTATCAAATATTTTTTCGCGTTCTTCCTCTATGCTGTATTGATAATTTTGTTAAATATCGTTTGATTCTCCAATTTGTTTTTCTCATCTGTTTACGATTTTCTTGGAATTTTAAGTTCCTTTTCTTCTGTAAATGTCTCTGTTCTTCAGAGTTTTGAAAACCAAGTACAGTAAAATGTCAGTTTCCAGACAGTTCTAAAACACTCTCGCCAAAGCAAATCGTCCCTCTTGAAACTACTAGCGATTATTTTCCATAAATCAGTCACTGAAAGCAAATCTTTTTGGTCGAGTTATTAGACGAAAAACTGATTTTGTCCTTTATGGATGTCTTCCAACTGTATTTCTCCACTACTCACCAACAGAATTATTGCAGTTGCACACACGGTAACAGTGTGGTGGCAGCATAGGCGACGAGGAAACTGGGACAGAGTTGCTCATGACGTGGGACATTGTGGCTGTAACATTCATCACGTCAATGTAAGATTCACTGATCGACCCATTGACGGACCAACTGACCGACTCAGTGACCGTAGAATGGTTTACTACAGACATGGAGTAACTTACTGCAAAAAAGGGCAAGTTTATCAGTTCAGGTAGAGTTCTTGGGCCTAGTTGTTCGAAGGTTGATTAGCGCTACCCTGGGGTTAAATTTAATCCATGTTTCTTTATTTCTTTATTCAAAAGCCTTTAAAGGAACAATTTCCCTATTCTTTTTAGAACATTCAACGATCAAATTGCAAAAACGAAAAAGATTTGAACTGAATTTTCTTTTCAAACTTTCAGACCTGAATTCAAATTTCACGCTAACCCTGGGTTATCTTCACCCAGCTTTGAGCAACCCTGGCCAGATTGTTACTCTTATGTGAAGTCTGGAACTGTTGGCTATACGCCTCGTGGCGGTAACTTGTAATTTTTGATTAGGACGAGGCGGGGGGCAATGAAGCGAACACCAGAGTTCATTCCTGTTGTCCTTGGGGTTTGCCACCCTCCCCAGGTCTCGTTCAGCATTTTCAATGAAGGAGGCGTGAAGCTTGCCAATGACACGAGAACTAAAAGGAACTACAACGGGACGATTATCCTGGAACTTGCTTCCCTTTCGGTTTTTAATTTCGTGCAAACGAGGTCATTGGTCGTGCAAAGGTCGAGAAAAAGACGTGAAAATAATTTTCTCGAATAAGTTTTCCCACCGCCAGCTACGGCCTTGTGCCTTATAACTCTGTGGAAAGGATAATTGTCCGGAAAAACCATTGAAAATTTGTCACAAGTGTGGGAAAATATACGATACATTCGATGTGTTCGTTTATCGAAAGTCCCGCGATAACTTTGTGGAATGATAGTGAGAGTCCTATCTCAAGCACCAGCCCATACTGCTCTTTTTAGTGAGATCTTTATTTTTTGTAAATTTAAAATCTCTCAAAACCTCGATCTTGATTGAGAAATAGCCAACAAAAATTAGCTTTTCGTGCCCCTTTGAGGCGGTGGGTCTTTCAATAAGCGGCCACTTGAACACTCAGGTTTATTTACGTTCTGTTTTGTCATTTTATATGGGTTTAGTCTGGGTACCAATTGGGAGTCTCTTTTTGGAGATGATGTCGAATTTGCTTATGAGCCGGGTTGCTGTGCTAACCACCTGCAAAACGGATTATCTTAGATGTTTTCTATTTCCATGTGAGATTCAATTGAAGCCTCCTACTAACTCATTCAAACGCGTTAAAAATTCATATGCCCTGAAACAAATTTTTATTCGAAATAATTTTTATTTTACCGTATGCATTACAGTTCGTTCTTAATAATTCGCTTTATAATTTTGCTCGTTTTCGTTAGAAAATGAAGCTAGAGCCAGCACAGCGCTTTTCCATGTGAGGCATCAAAGTTACGTGATTAGTTCGCTTTGGTAAGGTTCTTATTAAAATACTACCCGTATGCATATTCAAAATTTGCACCATCTAATAAGCCTTGCCGCTGTGTCTTTATTCAGTTCCGAAACATCAACAAAGGCGTAAGAAGTCTAAGAATGGTCATCATCTCAGCCAAATAAAAGCGGAAAATAGAGAAGTTATCACAGTGCAGTAAAAATGGAAATAATTTTTCGACAGGAACCGATTACTCGCCCGGGCAAACACCGCATACTTGATGGTACGCGATTCGAGGGCGATGCATCTTTGAAATTAATCCGGTACTCGAGAGAACTAGGTTTCATAGCACACTGTTCGTCAGTAACAGTTTTCCTTAAAATTGGAATTATGTCAACACAAAGTGTAATCACAGCTGGTATTTCTTGTCTTTCATTATTGCTTGGGAGTTAATAAAAGCCAATTTATTGCACAAGCTCTCATCATCCAAGTTTCAATTTCAATATGGCAAAGTATCAAATTCATCTTATTTTTTTGTTTATTGCGCGAAGAAGCCGTTATTTACAGTTTAGTAACGGATTTGAATTTCTCCTCGTCGATTTTAATTGGTACTACCCATGAGCTTTTATTGAGTGTGTTGAAACTAAGTGCAAAGAAATCTTTTCTTTAGAAATTTTTGCAATAAATTAAGGTAAACGCTCACAATTTCAAGGTGGTAGTATTGAGTTGGGTGACAGTTCAGAACCGTTTTCTCAGTAAATCCTTTAGTGATTCATTCTCAGGTTGCGTTCTAAATCCACATGTCTAAAACGAGACGTAAAGGTCGTAAAATGACTTTGATCAATACCGATATCTCCCATATTTCTAGTAATTATTTTATGGCACTCCTACATATAAGAAACTAACGGATTTAGTTTAAACTGGAGCGCTTTTCATTGCAACATTACGTTTGCCTCTCGCTAAAGTTTCCTGCGCATTATTTATTGATATGCGATCCATATTCATTAAAAATTCTGCTTCAGGTTTTCTTGATAAACTTTGACGTTGCTAGGGTAGTTAAGATGTTTTGCCAGAATTTAATTGAGATTATGCAAACAGAAGAGAGAATCAGCCAAACTTTGACTTTTAAAATTGATTTGAAGCCATTTTAAGCAATTTTGAATAATTTTACAAGTATTTCATATCGGACTTTTGAATAATTCTGGAAATTTATTCACAAAGGATGACACAAAAACTAAGATTGTCGCTTGCGTAATAAAATTTGTGCTCTGAACATAAAATGAAATGATCCGTGATGAAATTCTGGTCACGAACCACGCATCTGCCTCACTGATTTTAAACATCATTGTATGAAAGGAAACCATCTCGCCAATTTCTTTTAACACCTTTTTTATTCCCTTAAGTATGAGCGAAATGGTGAATTCTAAAAGAAGGGTTTTGTAAAAGGCGAAGGCATCATAACTGCAGAAAATGATTCAAATAAATGAACGATTGTAAGAAATTGATCAGGTCTATCTTTAAAAGGTTTTTTGTGCATAATTGTGCATTTTTTTAGCTAATTAACTCAAGCGTTATATTAAATTTTGCATGCAGCCCTTTTTGGAATGTTGTGTAGTTATATTAATAACAAAAGGTACTGACAGTGCCTTCCTGCGACCATATGACAGATTTTAAAGAATGAAAAAATTTTAGGGAAGGTTCTAGTTCAATAAACAGAAACGAATTGGTCTAATCCGTTGAAATTAAAAATAATAAGTTTGAACAAACATCTTTTCAAAACGCTAAACATATATCCCTAAAATAACTTGTTAATGAATATGCCACTAAAGCAGTTGCTTTAATTTTCAAAAATAAAATCTCAATAAATCATGAAAAAGCATCAATCCTTTGGCGAAGGCTTTTGAAAGTACAAGTTTCCTCTTCGAAGGTGCAGGAAAAATATTTGCAAACTCAGGAATGAATCGCAAGTGACAAATGAAGACTCACTTTGGGACTACAGTTTAAATGAAATGCGGATTTTCCTCCAATGTGGCGGATTTTAAGCTTTTAATACCTACCCGAAGATGTATTTCCATTTGCCGTCGATGAAAAAGCGATAAAAATCCATACCTTGACGATTAGCGACAGAGGTAGACCTACAAATAGAGATAAGCAGAACGTTTTCCCTTCAGCGATCGTTTTCATGCCTTGCGTAACTAATCGATGAAACATTAAATGGCATACTAAAATAACTTTTTAGATACTGCTAATAAAAGTTCAGTGTGTTTGCTTTACCATGACAAGATATCTTATAAAGGCAGGGCAGCAAAAATACGTGAACAGTTTACACGAACCTTTTTTGGTATCCAAAATCGTGCCTTTAATCCAACAATTCCGAAAATGGCCCATGTCTTCACCTGTTTTTAGCTGTTTCTTCCACTTATCAACTTTAAATTAGCGAGCAGAATCTAAGCAAGTGCGGACTGAAAGTTTCAAGTACTTGAAAAGATAATGACACCCGATTTCCCAACCACCCCATGCTACTTTGTTTGCGTAGATTGTGGTTGCAACCATGGTAACCAGTGAAAGAAATATAATTGACCGGGATGAAACAAGACGTAGAAACAATTAAGTCATAACAATAAGTCTGTGGGATGCGAATGCGCAAAAACAATTAAGAGTGAAATAGTTCGGTTGAAAAAGCAATTTCTCAATTGTAAAGTAACTTGTTCCAAGCGTTTAAGCCCACTGTTGCCATGAAAACATAGCCTTGCAAGACGTCAACACAAAATTTGTCGACGTTGGCCAGTTTTCTTGTAAAGAAGAGAAATATAGACAACTGGAAGAGAGAGCTTAACCAGTAAAAAAATATCAACCAATCACTCATATCTAACATTACTCGTACCGGCGCTTGAGCTACATGTAAGTAATCTTAAGCGAGCCCTCGACTTTTCTTGGGTCACACAAATTCCCCTTGTGAAAAAGTGAAGTATGAAATGCGACAATTAATTCGTCTCCAAACGATAATTCATCAATGGTCTTACCCGGTCTAATTAAGCGGCCTTATTCATGGTAGAGACATTCTACCCTCTAATGATAGTTTAAGCCTTGCTCTCAGCTTTGAAAGGGTAAATCATTCGCTATGTTCGGCGATTGTTCCCTTCATGCTGCCGCCCTTAAACTGTGGAATGATCTTCTGTGTTCCATCCGTGTTGCATTTCACGTTTTTTCACCTTGGACATTTTTTTTAACTTGTAGGTTTAATATTTAGGTATAGTTTAATTTTTAACACAATAATGCGCAATTGAAAATATTGCATTGATAATTGTGCAAAATGAATCAATAAATTGTTATCATAAATTTTTATCATAATTATCATCATTGACAACTAGGTAACGAATAGTCTCAGTCATAACTCGAACTCTTAGACAGAGCTTGGTTCACCGTCTTTCAACCAAACGTGTTTATATTCTTTAATGAAGACCTCTCTCTTTTAACCAATCATAGAGCTCGTTATGTGGGCTCTTTGTCGTGGGTTCATTGAAAGTCCAAATGAAGATGATTAACACAATAGAAAGTGTTGTAAGAGAAACTTTCATTCGGTAGCTAGTTTTAACCCCTTAACCCATTAGAGTGACTGGCTTTTAATTTCTCCTTACAGTTGCATCCTTGAATCAGGCACAAAGGGGGTGGATAATATTAATATTACTATCAGGGCTTAGGGAGGGATCAACACAGCTTGTGAAATCGTGTAATCAAACTCCTTTGCGCCGGGGTGCTGCTAACTCTATTTTAGGATGTTAATGACTTACGTTGGCATTGAAGTGTGTCAAAGTGCTTCCTTTTTATATCACGTAAAATCTACTGCATTGAAGATGTAAAAAAAAAATAATTCATGTACTTGTTGTTCTTTCTATAGAGATATGAGGCACTTTGAAAGTTTGGAGAGTTTAAAGGGAGTTAGAGTTCCTGTCAGCTATGGGTCGAGAAACTCACTTTCGTGTTGTCCAAACTTTCTGTGTGGTTCAGATGTTGCTAAACGCACGCTGGCATTTCAACAATTAGCTTGTCAGTACATGTCAGAAATGATGAGTTATGTAACTATCGCTGACATTTAATTGACTTTTCGTTATGGCTCTTGCATAAAATTGTTTGTCTGAAAAAGTGATCGTGTTGTTGAGTCCTAAAAACCAAAATAAATCTTATCGCATTGAAGTGAATATCGAATGGTTAAGTTTAAAAGTACAGGAAGACATTTACGGAATTATCCTAATTTTCCTGTGCGGACGTAAGTGAAGTAAGAATGTCCAAAAGGATTAAACTGTATTACACCAATTAGTATTCCTATGCGATTTGAAGGTTTTAAATTATTAATGTCTTCTCCAAATTAGAGACTTTGGTTTGAAATTCATCTGATCTTGAAAAAGATTCCTTGATGTAAAAGGAAAGGTTTGTTAAACCGCAAATTACTCGAAACTTATTCACAGATTTTACGCAAACATGCGTGACTAGGGCAAAGGGCATTTTTGCCTTGAACATATCGGTTTTCATTGTTTTGTTTTCTTACTTTTTTTATATCAAACAGCTTCATCTCCTCGGGTAGAAGAAGACCTAATTTTTTTTCTTTTGATATGGCTTAAAATGTACTCTAAATCGTAACATTCAATGCCTTTTCATTTAGCATTTTTAGAAAAAAGTACAAACATTTGTTGAAAGTACTGCAATTACAAAAGTGTTCGCTTAGAAATGAAAAGTGATTAATAATTTATCACCAGTAACAAAGCTTTGAATCTACCGGGAGACAAACTCTCAAGGACATGGTTGAGCTCTAGGCATGTTAAAAACAATTTCCAAAACTACATTTCATTGTCATCATGCGACTCAATCACATGGTGACGATGCCTCGCAGGGATCGTTGTCGATTCTTGAGGAGCTGAAGGCTGTAAACAGAGAAAGCAAGTGTAGCTAACCTCTCAAACAAGTCTTTTTACAATACAAATAACTGTAAAATATTGCGGGATATTGTACTCCATTCGAGCTTTATTTGCACTCTACCTAGTGCAGTTGGATAATAAATGGTCCGATGTCAAAATACGCAAGGAGAATAAAACACACTAGGTCAAAGGTTTCATTGATTAGTGGACTGCACACTAATGAAGTCATTTCTGAACATTCAAATGGCTCATGTTAAAAATGGAAACTCAGAAGTTATAATGTGTTTATGTTGAAGCGGTTGTTATAGTGACGATTCTTCAGATTTCACGCGGTGAATTTGACTATTTAAGCCTTCAGTAAAAAAATACCATTGTTTTTAACAGATCGTGATGTAATGTTAATGTCGCGGACAGTTTTTCGCTTCTCCAAGCCTAGGCTGATTAACAACAGTTATGTCCTTTGTTTATAAAGTCTTGTTTGTTTTATGTGACAAACCAATCACAGTTTCTTTCAGTTAAACTTTTACAGCGTTTTGATTGATCAATTCTGTTTATAATTTTGATACCTGAGTTCGTGAAGAATAAATTTTTTTTCCTATTTCTAACGAATAGTAACCACTGAAATACGCGGGCGGCAAGTTAAAATGGGTTTAAAAACTGGAGGCCTTCCCAGTTTTCTATGGTCACCAGTGATAAAATACAAATAAACAAAATCGAAAACGTGTCATCTCCATTTATAGCTGTTGTGTCTTCCAATGTTCTCGCAAAATCGTCGTGATGGGCTTTTTTTCTCTGCTAATGAACCTACCATAGTAACAACAAAGGATTCCAGCCGACATGGTAAGAGTCCCCGGACAGTATGCGCCATTATCGACGTTGTTTGCAAGAAGAAGTGCGTATATTTTTGTCCAGAAACTTCGGCTTTTTTGTCTGCTTCAGTTTTAAGAATCATTAGGCTAAAAGATAGAAAATTATTTCTAAACCACTTAGAGTAAAATCTCTAGTCTGGATTGCACCAGAATTTGTGTTGGAGAGAGTCACTAAAGGTCAACGAAGACGAAACACTAATAATGATGGATCTTCCCAAAAGGTCCAAGGGTAGGTTTCAATTTATTTCATGTTATTTCATGGTTGAAAAGACCAACTTTTACGGACGTTACTTTATGCTTATGACGGCGCTCTATAACTGTCTCTTTTCTAACTTAATATTTCAGTTTTTTATCCACCAGCTGATAAATTTTGGGGATTTGGATCCACACTCCTCAAAATCTGGATATTTGCTACCTTTCTGCCATTTGCGAGCGGCAGCACCACTCAAAGTAAATTTTAAGTAAATATATGTCAGTTAACACATATCTTATCTCGTACCATCTGAGTAACATGACTCTCGGTATTTCTTATCCTTCTTATTTTTTTTTCATTAATTTTTTATTACTTTTCTTAGTTTCTTAACACGATTCGTGATCAAAATCTCAGACGACTCCTTTCATAATTTAGTGATAAATCAGCTTTAGAATAACTATTTGAATGCTAACCGCGTCGTCTGCGAGAACTTTGGTGTTCGCCATTCGAACTTTATTAGAATATACTAACACAACTCCTCATTAAAACCTCCCATGTCATTAAGATTTGAAGAATAAGATAAATTACGAAAATATTATTATAGTCTGCCGGAAGGACTGTTTGAATATATTATGTTGACAAGCATGTCAAATACGCGTCAAGTCCTAAAATAATCTCGGCATTTTCAACGTTCTCCACTCCAATGGACAACTTTTTACTATTTGCAAACGCTATTGTGTTTTGAACTGTTTGCACAGCAGGCAAACAGAACATGGACGTCGGTTACACTTGTCTTTCTTTCAATTTTAATGATAGCCCAGGTAGTGACACCCCTTTGAGTCAGCGAAAATCAACTTAAATTTTGATCCTCAATCAGGCACGACTGCCCTAGCATGGGCAAAGACATTATGTACACATATACAAAACTACTACACGAAAAAAAAACACTGCCACAAAGGAGTTTTTGAGAATTTCTCCCCACAATACCCAAGCAATTTCAAGCAGACAGGTGATGAGAATAACGAGAAATATCAATTAGGGGATTATCAGTTGATCCAGTAACAAATTTTCAGAACTAAAATAACAAGAATTGTACAACAGTCAGTAAGGAGAACTGCTAATGAGATCTTGGGAGTGAAAGGGTTAATTTATGCTGTTGATGTGGAAGGTTCGTATAGGATGATGCCCGATCATTATTAAAATGTAATACTGTCAAAATACAGGTGGTACATCAAATCTCAAAACAACCATAATTGCTTTTTCATCTTTTTTTTTATCTAAGACCTCTCACAAGATCTATAGATATTTTGTTTAAAAAGGCTCTAGACAGATGTTCAATAGCAAGCTGACATTTTAAGTCTGAAACTAAGTGGTTGTTCCTGTAGCATTCAAGCGGACGAACATTCAGACAGGCAAACAGATAGACAAACGAACGGATAGATAGGCAGGTAGGCAGACAAGCTAACAGGCAGATGGGCAGATAAACGCGTAGACATATTATTGAAAGAGAACAGAAAAAGTGTTTGACTGTCTAATTGACTATGTTATCATGTGTCTCTTTCAGGTGTGTCATCATCCACGGGTAGCAGTCATGTGGCATCATCCACAAGTAGCAGTCATGTGACATCATCCACAGGTAGCAGTCATGTGACATCATCCACGGGTAGCAGTCATGTGACATCATCCACAGGTAGCAGTCATGTGGCTGTTTCCACGACTTGGTCTCATCCGTCGAACTGCTATAGTGTCTGCGTATGTGTTGGTTTCGAAGGTGAGCGAGTTAGGCGACCTCCTTCGAGGGGTATTATTATCTCAATTGTTACGTAAATGGCGGTTTAATTTCATGTATTTATTAAAATCTCTAAGTTTCAAGGGAGGCATAATGGTGCGTGAACAGTCAGTTCCTTGTATTGCATAGAACGAAAACGAAAACGAGAAGGATAAATTTGACGGACAACAATTTATTCATACACTTAGGCCGGATGAAATCGATTTGATCTGAAATTTTCCTTTGACCGGATAAACGTTTGGGCCTCTCTCTTTTCTTGAGCTT